GTGCATACCTGCTTCTAGCCCCTGCAAGGCCAAAGCACAGGTACCCTTTAATTTGCCTTACCTTGAAATTCATACAATTCATTGCAGCCAGATGACAGCGATCTTGTCACATGCCATAAGTGGGTCTGCTTCCTGAACAACGTGCTGTACAAATTCATTGCTCTATGGCTGCTAAATCCCCACTTAACTTCCAAGGCATCCTTAATCTGGTTGGTGATGTGAAGTAACACAAATTAAATCAGTACGGATACTCAGAGTGACTTTAAATACAGAACTTCTGATGCATCAGTCATGAGAAATTAGGGCTGCCACTGTGGTCTCTACCCCTCAATGAAAAATTTGGGGGACTACCGCTCTGTAGCCTCAGAGCAAACTCTGTATTTTCTAAGAGACCTAAAGTCATAAACTTGGCGGTCCCACCATTCTCCTTAGAAAGAACCTTCATCTTTGTGACTGACTGACCAGCACATGCACCTTGCAAGGTCAGTTTGCATCTCGTCTGTTATTGAGATTAGGGATAACTGTATATAGATGGTGCCTAGTGTGCTTGTATTTGTATTTAATCATTTGCATATACTAACAGGGTTATTCACAGAAGGGTGAGGAGTTTGGAGACAGCAGGAGAAGTGAACAGTCTAGGCCAAATTAGCCGATTTGAAATAATTCTCCAATTCAGCCATGTAGTCCTAGATTGTTCACTTCTCTGGCCTTCTCCAAACTCTTCACCTTTTAGTGAATAACCCTGTAAGTATTTGTGAATCCAAGACCCAAAACAAACATGCTTTAAATGTGTCCGATAATGGTCAGGCCTCATTTCTGTACTTTGTTCTAGGTCAGCTACTCAGACAGCATTGAAGCCAAAGAATCAGTCAGGAAACTAGCGTTAAAAAAAAAAAAAAAATCATTCAAAAGCAGTCTTTATGGTTCTTTTTACAGCTGGGCCCCTTTTAGGGACAACCAGGAGCCTTTAGGTGTATTTAGGAACATCTCACCTGCAAGACAAATGAGTAAGCAAAAGAGGTTCTCAGATCACCAGAATAGGGAGACACAATTTATGGTACATTACCAATTATATGACAGAACAGTCCCCCTGAATAACAGAACCCACAACCTCTATATGTACAAACATTGCAAAAAGCATGTTGTTTAATTATCAAATCTTATTAACCCCTTCGTGACTTGACGACGTAGCGTGTACGTCGCCAGCATCGGGGCTGTTTAAACAGACTCCCGGCGACTTTTGGTGCCGGGAGTCTGTTTAAACTTTTAGAGCCGACTGTCTGCTTTACAACAGAAGCGATTCTGGCGACTTACCTGTCACCAGAATAAAAGTTAAAAAAAAAGAAGTTTTTAAAATTAAAATAAATAAATCAATTAAAAAAAATGTAAAAGTCCCACGCCCCTGCGAGCATGCGCGTCGCCACTTAAAAACGCGTCGGGTGCGCCTCCGTATGAAAACGACGAACAGGCTTCACATGTTGGGTATCGGAGAGTAATAATTCTAGGGCATCTCTAAATTGATGACCTGTGGGGGCTTTTAAAGCGTCTTCTGTGGACTTTTTGGGGTACTGCAGTTTTTCGCAATTTGTAAACTGGGCATGTTGGGTATCGTTTTACTCGTTGTAACCTCATCTTTTACATTACATTAAAAAAATGGGTATTTTGTGTGTTTTGGAGCATTTAAATTTATCACTAAATTTTGGGGTTTAATAAGGAGTTGCGCTAATATTGCGCAACATAAAAATTTGCAACTACCACCATTATATTGTATAGGGTCTTGGCATTCAGAAAATATATAATGTTGGGGGGTTTTAAGTAATTTTCAGGCCTAAAATGTGGAATATAACATGGGTGCAAAAAATGAAAAAAAGGGCCTCAGTCATGAAGGGGTTAAAATTACAAAAACCTTCTCAAGGGAGCACAGACCCCAAAAATTAAATTACATTAACTTCAACGAGTAAAACTGTTCGAGTTTGACATGTATGAAATAGTAGTATAAAAGGTAACTGCAAAGAGACCTTGTTGCCATAACATGTTCACTGCACATGCTTTCAGAAGCATAAACAAGCATTAAGAGTTTGAACTTGAAGTTAATTTTTCTTTGTATATATTGTATTCCCCACCTCTGTTTTTCCCTGTCTGTACTGTTTAAATTGCAATGCTTTACGGAGTCTTCAGGCAAAAAAAGAAAAACCTGTTTTCTGGTTGTTATCATTGTCACTACCTACTCAACCCTGATGAGATGGGTATGGTTATTCTGGGGCCCTCCTGCGATCCTTCTGGACAGCTTGACACTCCTTAGTCAGATTCTGAAGCTGGGACTGTAATGTAAGAACACTGACAGCTTGATGAGGAATGATGCAGCACATCACAAAATGGGCACAAAACGTACACAATCTGGACAGAAACATTCCATAAATCCCCTTTGGCAGTCATTTTGTTAGTGTCTGTCTACAATATACTCAGAGTGAGATAAAGTGGCCGCGTCTATGTGTTTTTGCTCCATAAAAGTGTCTGCACATAAAACTTTGGCTATTCCATGAGCGGGCAGACTGACGCCTTTTCATCACAACACTGACAGTCACAGCACCGGGCAATTTAGAATGTTTTTTTTTTTGTTATTAAAGAGTTGAAGAATCCCTAAGATGGGAAAACAAGGCATGTTGGCTCTCAGCATTCCTGCGCCTACCACTAAAATCTGTTGGTCTCTTGGCAGCCAATCTTAGATGTATTAATGCCAATTTGCCTGCTACACAGGTTAAAATTGTGCTACACTGCAAAATTGTGAGACGTGGAATTGGCCAATTAACTCTCAATCATTTCATCAACCAGACCCAGAACCTGTGTGGAAGCCACGCATGTCCCTAGAGCCTTGGTTCTCAACTGGTGCGTCGTGATCCAAAAGTGGGTCGCAACTCCGTGTTCAGTGGGTCACCGCATGCCTTCCACTTTTCTAGGCGAGAGGTTCCTCGGCCTCCCCCTAGTGCAGCACTGTCAGTTCTCGTGCCAAGCAGCTATTTTGTGTATGTATGTCCGTGTTTTTGAATGCTCGTTCACAATAGTACAGTGCATTAAATCGCATAATACCTTGCGATTAACGCACTGTACCATGCAACCACACCTACTGTGCATTCTGGTGTGGGAGGTGTGTTGCATTGCCCTTCATTTGAATGGTACCCCAAACGCACCTCCCACCCACAGGTCATATGCCCACACCGGAACGCGTTGTGCCCTAATGCCGTGCGTTCCAATGCAGTGCGACTTGGGTCACAACTTCATGACCAAGGACAAATGTGGGTCCTGAGGTTACACAGGTTGAGAATCACTGCCCTACAGTACAGTCAGAAGAGAACTTTGCTATTTTAAAGTGACATTAAAGGATAAAAAAAAATGTCGTTCCCCCCCCCCCATGTTAACGTCAGCACTTACCTTAAATGATGTCTCTTAATCCGATCTTCCTCTTTCCCCATGTTTTCATCTGTCCCTCCCGCGGTGCGGCGGTTCTCCGATCCAGCGCTGACTCCTCTCTGCTTACAGGCACTTCCGATCCAGCGGTGTCTGCATGCGGGTGCACGCGTCCATAGGCTTACCTTGCATCTGCTTGTCTCCCGGCCGAAAATCCGAACTGCGCATGCGCCCGCCCCAAGATCCCTTGCGGCCGCACGAACAATTCCAGACTCTCGCTGCGGGAGTGCGCAGCGATAATAAGGTCAGTCTAAACCGCTTTTTAAGCGTTTTGTTTTTGTTTTTTACTTTTTGCCTATATCTACTGCTTTTCAGCAGTAGATATAGGCAAAAAACCGGTAGGCTTTAGAACCCCTTTAAGTGGAAAGTGAGCAGCCCACAGAGGCTCACAGATAACCAGTCCTACTGGCAAATGTATTGGCCTGGATGGCAGAAATAGTTTGTGTCACTGACTTGTATTCTACCCGGCCATTGCAGGTACTCCAACTTATTAGATATTATATGTTTTAAGAATCTGAAGCCCACCTAGGTGAATAATCACCTAGCATTCTTTGTTGCAAGTCCAACACAAGCTACAATGTTTTTGATCTTGAATGAAGCGTCACAACTTCTGGCAGGTTTTGATTTATTGCGAAGTGATGAGGGGTACAGGGGGTCACCAGAAAACAAACAGGCAGCTACAAAAGCCTGAATTCCTTATCTTTCCCTTCTACTACAACAACCAAGTGCCGAGAATGAATAAAAAGCTGTCTAATAACCGTGTACACCTCCAAAAAGGAAAGCCCATTCCTTTGATAGTTCACTTGCATAGCAAGCCCTTATGCGACATGTGTTGTCTTTAACCAGTTGACATCCGCGGTGTTAAACCCCCTTCACAAACTCTGTTTGAAAATTTTTTTTAGGAAAGTTATTACGGATTCTAAACACTCTGGTGTGGCACTCCTGTTCTCCCTTCTTCAGTATCAGTTCATAGTGGCCTTGGTAGCCCTTCAACTTAAGAGAATGACCAAGTGCAGTGTTAACTTGCTACACATCCCCACCTGGTAGAAAGGCAAAACAGATTTGAGGTCTGACCACCACCACCCACCCATCCATCCATCTTCCAATTAGCAATAAAACACTGACGTAGGTACCCTTTCCCACTGTATTAAAAAAGCAAGAGTTTGGCTTTATTGCAGAAAAAAAAAATCCTAGTTTAATATTACACAGCAAAGTTTGAAATAACTTTACCACTTAAAACTATAATACAAGATTGATATGTACAGACCTTGGTCTTAAATATGAGAGGGCACTGGTGTACAAAAATGCTGCATTACAGAGGAAACAATCAATTGGACACAGTTGTAATTATCCAAATGCCAAGCGGCTTAGTACGATTTAATGAACACCGAATGTAAAATAGCACAAGGTATGAATCAAATAAGCTACATTTAACAGATCACAAACTAAAAACTTAGACATTAAAAAAAAGAGAAAAAGAATAAAAGTGCAACAGAAAGAGAGAAAAGAACAAAAATACTAAATGTTGTACATACCACTGTCCTCTGCTTATTGGGTAGGTAGACACGAATAGTATTGCTTGCTTTTGAAGCGTCACCCAGCCTGCCATCATCAGATGCCCGCCTCTGATAACCAAACTGCTGAGCAATAGTTGGGGACATACAGCTAGGTCCATCAAATACAGAGTCCTTTAACCCAAATCCATTGCTGATCTTCATCCACGCGCCTTGAATATGCTCCATTGATAATCAATAACCTGAAATACATTTTAGAGAAAGATTAATTTAAAAAAAACACTAAAGTGCAGGCATCAGTTTCTTATATTAGCATTCATATCAATCCTTGTGTCCCCCACATGAGTCATAGAGCCAGGCTTTAAACAGGGCCTAAGCTCTTTTCACAGCCTGGACTAAACCATACAGGTTATGGTGAAAAGGGATTAAAGCAACCAAAAAGCTCTAATCAGTGCACAGCACAGTTAGCAAGTCACATGTCTCATTCTATCATATATTCCAAAATAAAGAGGCCTAGTCCTCATTTCAGGACAGTGGTCAGAGTCATGCAAAATCACTGCTTTTTGCCCCATCAGCCAGATGCACATCCACAACTGCTGGTGTATAGTGAAAGTGTAGCCTAATATTATGGAGCCATTTATAACTGCATACCGCTTTTTCAGGTGATTTGGCCATCAGTGCAGTGTATGGAAATCATGACTTCTATGGAGTGGAGCTAAGACATCAATGTGCTCCACAGAGACAAAGTCATGATTCCATACACTGCACTGATGACCTGTGTCTCTGTGGAGCACATTGATGTCTTAGCTCTACTCCATAGAAGTCATGATTCCATACACTGCACTGATGACTTCTATGGAGTAGAGCCAAGACATCAATGTGCTCCACAGAGACACAGGTCATTAGTGCAGTGTATGGAAATCATGACTTCTATGGAGTAGAGCTAAGACATCAATGTGCTCCACAGAGACACAGGTCATCAGTGCAGTGTATGTAAATCATGACTTCTATGGAGTAGAGCCAAGACATCAATGTGCTCCACAGAGACAAAGTCATTGATTTCAATACTAACACCGTTTCTTTCAGGCACCACAAAGTGAGATTGCTCCAGCACTCGTAACCTTAGACACTTTTTAGGCTAAGTCAGGTTCACCAGAAGGATATTGTTACCTCATCAACTGTATTTTTTTATATTATTTTGTGCTCTATTAACCAGAATGTAGAAAATGTTTTTGCTTAAGAGATCTCCCCATTATCTAGGTCAGCATTTCTCAACCTACTTTGTCGCGGCACCTTTTAAATGTATGAGGCACCTCAAACTAAAGAAATGTGAATGCAAAAATATTTTCAAAAATCGATGTGTGGCCCCTTCACACTGCATACACTATTTTTTCAGATCTCACTGCACGGTAACTGAGGGTATTCCTGTACCTCGCGTTCTGGTGCGGCTGATCGCACTGCGGAGGGGGGACGTGTCTGCCGTGCCATTGACATGTATGGCACTGCCACGCCCTCTCCAACCCAAAACGCGGCCCAGCTTGATCTATGTGATCCAATGCATTTCGGGCTCGAACCACTGGATATAGTGTGACTGGGCCCTCAAGCCATTAAAGGGTATTTTCTATATTTTTACAGTGAGGCTACCATTTACAACTAATATGTCACTTCACTCTATTGCATGTTGTGTGATTTTCACATACATCCACAGCAGAGTGGAAGAGGCTGCAGGACCCTTGATACCTGCAACAGTACATCAGGGGCCATCAAACTACAGCTCTGCTTTTGGAGAATTAAGGAGCTCTCAAAAGGTGCCCATGCACCTTACAACCATCGCAAGACTTGTCTTGTGGTGGTTGTTGTAAGCTAATTAAAAGCTCGCGCACACTGGCCCGTTCGCCATTTGTCTCCCGAGCATGCCACAAACCAGCCGAGAATCGTACGATTCTCGACGGGTTTTGAAACATGCTCGTTAGACAAAAGACGTGCCACCGTACAGTAGAAACGGTCGCACGCCTTCCATACACCTTGCGATTATCGTACAATCGTGGGATTTCCCATGATTATCGTACGATAATCGCAAGGTGTATGGGCACCTTAAGAGTAAGCCAGCTCCACGGATCAGGTGACTATACCTTTTTTTTTTAGCACCTAACCCTTGCAGTGCAGAGGTAGCCCCACTGCAAGGGTTAAGAACACGTTTGCCCATAGTGCTGCTTTAAGGTTCGAACTGGTTGCCAGTCAGGACATATTAACTCGCTTCCTATCTTAGCAGGCACCAGTAACATGGAGAGGGGAATTGACTGACGGAGCTTCTTAGACTCCCCAAGTTTGGGGTAAAAAACAAGTGCACGCACTTCCTGTCCCAGGTGACACCAGAAAAGGAAGATGATGGATTTTTCCCAGTCGAGAAATAAACAAAAACAAAGCAAAAGTTCTATCCCCCCCGCCCCCCATAAAAAAATAAAACCCAAAAAGAAAATGTAATGAAAAAAAAAAAAAAAAAAAAGGGATTTCAGGACTAATGGGCATAATAAAATGTATCCTACTGGTTTATGGAATTTATCCGCAGCATCGACATTCACAGTGCACCAACGTTACGGTGACATGCTAAACTGAACCCAACCTTCTCCAAATCCTGCACAAGCCATAACTCTGTGTGAAAAGGAAATAATTACACACCGAGAGTGACAACACTTTTATAGACACTAAAACAACATTAACAAGATGTCCAATTCTTTCTACAGCAGCCAAGAACGGTGGAAAGAAAAAATTTCAGATGAAAGGTGATGTCATTTTGCACACGTTGCTATGTACAGTGCTTTATGCCAAGTCAGCTTGTCAGAGTTCCCTAAACCAAACTCTGATATGAAGTCGCTGCTCTGACACTCCATTCACATTCTCCAGATTTTCCTTTCTGATTTAAGTTAACAAATAACATTTCTACAAGGACCCTTCATGGCAGGACAACGGCAGGCTTCGAGAGTGAACAAAGCAGCTTGTTCTAGAGACCTTTGTCACCAGGACAGAAAGGAAAGAGAAAACTTCAATTTTACAGTTGTCCCTGGGAGTTGAGGGGGAATTTCCCAATGGAGGACACAGAATTCTGGTTGCAGCTTTAAAAGTCTGAATTTTTGTTGCCAAATTTTCAAAATTGCTAATCATCTGAAGGGCAGTAAAACCCTGCGTGCTGCCAAAAAAAGCCAAACCCCAAAATGATGCTTTTTTTTATTGTATACTATTGAATACTTGTAAAATGTAGTCAAAACAACAAAAATAATATTTTTAATCATTACATCATTACAGCTCGCGGTATACTGAGACGCCGGAGCGGATCCCGACGTAGATGACGGGATCCGCCCAGCTGCGTGAGTGACAGCTGGCTCTGCCTATCTAGAGGCAGAGCAAGCGGTACCCGCCCCCTCCCCCGTCCGTTCCGCCAGTCACCGCTGGCAGATCGGCAGATAGTTCTCCTTTAAGGTGTACCTGTGTTAAGATTATGCAGTGCAATGGCTCAGCGCTTAGCACCCCTGCCTCGCAGCACCGAGGTTCCTAATTTAAAGCAGAACTCCAGGTAACTTTTCTATTAACCCTTGTAGTGGGGCTACTCCTGCGCTGCAAGGATTCAAGGGTTATTAAACCCTCGCATGTTTTTGCTTATATCTACTGCTAGCAAGATGTAGATATATCCAAAAACATTTAAAACAAAGAAGAGTTAATACTAACCTGTGTTTTCGCCACGCGCTCCCGTCCAAACATCTGAAGAGTCTCGGGCGGCCGCAAAGGATCTTGGGGCGGACGCATGCGCCCTTCAGATGTTAGGCCGGGAGACGAGGAGAGACACAAGTTAAGTCTGTGGAGCAACATGAGAAAAGGAGGACAAAAGGAGTCAGCGCTGGAGGGACAGCTGAAAAGGACAGGAAAGAAGATCAGATTAAGAAACATAATTTAAGGTAAGTCCCTACAGCAGGATTGGGAAGGGGGGG